TTTTTTTTTTTTTTTTTTTTTGATTGGAAATAATCACAAATTGATGGTTCATGTGCTCAGAAACTCTTCCTTTTTTTTGGCTTTTTTCAATAAAGCTACCTCTTTTGCCTTTAACACGTATTAATTAGCAAACTTCGGTTGACTCATCATCACGCGCTTTTGTATACGAACACTTGTTTCCTACAGTTTAGTTGGTAAGGCCAAAGCTTTCTTACGGATAAGTAACGGAAATCTTCAGCTCTTCATGAGGATGCTTTAACAGGCTTCTTTAGCACTGGAGTTTTTTTATTTCATCTCATGCCTGTACCTGATTGTCAACATTAAAAAGTACTTCCCCAGTCTTTTAACCTCTGAAGAGGCCTACTCCACGCATTCTTCGATGAGAACAATGTCGCTGTCGCTGCACCCTATTACAGTCAAGGAGACACGTCAATCGTGTCAACCCTCAACTGGAGAGTATGAAGTCTCCAGGTGATACTATAAGTTGGTGCCGCGCAGCTGGAGATTTATGCATAAGAGTGAAGCATTATGGGCGAGTTTAGCCTTTTGTATTATTGAAAAGGCAGGTAGATCGATAAGAAGTATTTCAAAGACGGTCGGAAATGGTGACTTCACGTCGCGCCTACAGAAGATGTTTGAATGCCCAAGTTTGAAGTAAGGTAGGTTGACAGAAACATGATGTTTTGGTATGGAGGAAAAGAAATTTGTTTAGCCTTACAGAAAGCAGTTGTATTGGGTGGTGCGAAGGGTGGTGTTGGGCAGTTTGGAATGCCAGGCAAAGGGTGGTGGTTTGTGGACGCTCAGGGTTTAGAAACTTCGCGTGTAGTTCAATTTTTTAAAAACTGAGTTTTTTGCTTTATTCCCCGAAGCTGCGAGAAAACTCTACCAGTGTTGTCACGTGCAGAACCTCTCAAAAACTGGGCTGCTTTATGACTAATTGGAGACCCATGAAGGACAATCATATTTTTACAGCGGACCACAAGGTGGTGGATGGTGTTCTGCTATTTAGGGCTGAAAATGGCCCAGAACATTGTCCACATATATATTTTTCTACATTAGTTCCTACACATATGAGTCGAAAGGTTTCTTCTCTCCCTGTGCTTTGACTAATGAACCTCCATCAATTTCTGCCATAGACACACGCTTACACAGGCACCGAACTTAGGATTAAGGAAGAATAGACTATGGCTAGTAGTCTGATGCCGGTATTTTGGCATGCTTTTAATTCCACCCATTGTGATCAGATGCCGTAGCTTTTCCGGAAAAGATACACTGCATGAAAAATGGCAAAACATTTACAGTATTTGTCGTCCCACTGGAACGGCGAATCACTTATTAGTTTCTCCGCCGAACATTCCTGTTGTATTTTCTCTCGGTAAGGAGCATTTGGTCAATCTCCACTAACATATCAGGACCCAGATCTTTAAATAGTGCCATCTGAACTGCTCAGTGCATACACTAAAAAACTTCACATAATGAATTAAAGAAGTGGAAGTTTAATTTTGATATCTCTCTCCAACTGCCTTACTGGAAACTAGTACTGGCGCCGTTGAAAGTTGCATTACTGCCAGCACTTTATAATACAAAAGGCATGGAGGTATATAGTGTCGTCGAGTTTGTCCCCTCCTTCTTCGTCACTGTCCCCTCTCCCAACTTTGCCGCCAAAAATGCAGCTACTGAATCAGTCGGCTATGGTGGCCAATGTAGAAGGTTATCTGACAGGCTTCTGATATAAAGAAAACAAAAGCCTTTCTTTCATTCGTCCTGATTTTAACTCTTTAATGAGGTTAGAAGGTTGCTGTGCTTTGTATAATTTGCACTTTTTCTGATTCAAGTGTCTTTTTACAATTATCGTAATGGAATTTGCGACAGAGGTGAAGAAATTGTGTAGTGAAAAATGTTAGTAGTCAGGGAAAGAGGGAAGTATATAGTTACCTTCCATACTAGGCTACCATCTACCTGTAGTATGACTATGCTAATTTATTCAGTATTAGCCGAGATAGCAAAAGCGGTGATGGCCAGTCATATTGACAATTTGTAACAGTTTCGAGTGTCTCTTGTGCCTTTTCTTGATTAGTCACTCTCGTCTCGCTCATGTGCGTTCCGCCAAAATGCAGCACTTCTAGAGGAGTTATTGCCTTACAGCAAAACAGTTTCTGTGACTTTTTTGTAACGTATTTTCAGTGCTATGCTTTCATTTTCCTTTATTGAGTGCTCTTTTTTAAGCGTCGTATGGGTAAGGTAAGTAGGTCGGTGAGGAAGAGTCAATCTTGCGATAAGGAGGCATCGACAAGTTTGCAATGCGTGGCGAGCAAAAGGAGTATTTCGATTAAGAACAGTAATGCTAAAGAAGAGTGCGTTATATGGGTTGTCAATGTAGAATCGCTAAGCAATGCTGATGATGCATCTCCTGAAGATAAATCTGTCCAAGCTGCCGTTTTCAGAGTATGGTTCAAAGTAATTAATGCACATGTTCTTCAAGTCAGGAACTGGTATTTATTGGACAACCTGTTTTCGCTGTAGTTTTTTAACTGCACGGGATAATCGGTTTGTTCAGTTTCCCTAAACCAGGAGTCATTATTGTTTATCTTTAGAAATTAGAATCCAGTTGCCTTGCACCGCGCTGGATTGATGAAGAAGACTGTTTGAAAATTTTGCGAAAAGGGAATGAAATATTTGTTTTACCAACTTTCTGTGGACGGCTTTTTGACCATCTCTCCGCTGTTGGTTGCAGGTTTCACTATTTTTTCTTTTAAATAGATGAGTATTGATCCTATTAAATATTACCGTCTTCAGTCTGTTATAACTTAAAAGCTTTCAGAACATACGGCTCACTTGCTGTTTTGTCTTGTTTAAATGCAGGAGAACGGCTTCCTAAATGGACTCATCCAATTCAATCGGTGACTCTTAAAGACGCCGTAATTTGTTTCACTGGTGTTGACCATGCAGTGAGGGTATGTACTAATCAAGTCTCTAACTTCTAAAAAACCAGTTAATGTAAACTGTTTATTAAAAGGTAAATGTAGTAAAATTTGAGTTTTATAAAGCACAGTTGATTGAACGTTTCTTTTTAAGCTTCTTGTTAAAACACATTAGATGTTAGCATGAAAATACTTTAATAGCAAATGTTGTTGCCTAATAGGTATTTTAGTTCACAGCATGTGCTTATTTGTTTAGTTAAGTTCTGTACAATAAGTCACTTGTGTTGTAGTCTTTTAAACCCAAGCAACTTGTAAGTAAAGTGTTATCAAACAATTTTTCTCTCATTTTTTCACTGGGTTATGTAACCGATATAAAAGTTTTAGGAAGTACAAACTGCTTTGATACTACGAATGGGTGGTGTCGTCTCTAGAGATTTTAATACCGCAGTAACTCATCTGGTTGCTTTGGAACATAATACCAGTTTGAAAAAATACGGTGTTAGTATATCTGTGAATCTAGAAACTTAATATTGTCGTCCTGTTCATTCAGGATTCTGTCAATTCTTTTTTTCTTTGTTTCAGTTATCATTTTTTTTAAAGTTCTTTTGTATCAATACCCTTATGCTCCAGCACTTTTAATGTAGCAATTTCTAAGCTACTTCCGGCTTTTCAAGGCAGCTGTTGAACGTTCTATACCGATTATGTCGCTTGAGTGGTTGAAAAAAGCATGGGAAGCAGCTAAAAAATTTAACGAAATTCGGTTTACAGATAAAGATATTGTGGAGTTGTATCGTCTGAAGCTGTTCACTGGCTGTGTAAGTTTTTATTCTTATCATTTAGTTACCGAGGTGTTTTGTTATTAATACTATCTATCTGTTCATTTCTGCAAAATATCTTTAGTTGATGACATGTTCCGGCGTATCTTTACAAGAGCGACTTTTGCTTGGACAGCTAATAGAAGAGAACGGAGGACGATTCAAGGGGGATATGGAACGTTATAAGTGCACTCACTTGTTGACGAATTTAAATACTGGCGAGAAGTATCGTAATGCCAGAGAATGGGGTTGGAAAACAATTAAGATTGTTCGTGTTGGTTGGCTTGCAAAATGTATTGAAAAGGTTCTATTTTCTTGCTAATGAAGGAAGATCGATTGTCATTTTTCTGCCTTCTTCGTTTCTGGATGTCTTGCAGGTATTATATCCCAGGATATGTTCTCTTTTGATTGCAGGGTTACCGCATTCCAGAACATCTTTATGAACCGAAACTGCCCATTAAATGTAGTACTCCTAAAAACTCGCAGCCCATGCATTCTGCAGGTTTAGAAGTCAGCGCCATTCCAGGGCCGAAAGCTCGCCTTTGTAAGGCACACTTTTTATGGACCGTTTTATACTCTGGGGCTGTTAGGCTTGTATTTTTCAAGAAGTCTTTTGTTTTATTTTAGTGCTACAGCTTTTTCTATGTCATAGAATTCGTTTAGCTTTTTTACATTTTTCAAAGTTTACTTAGTGAAAGCTATTTCATGACCTGCATTTGAAAAGGGCACAGCATGTTTCTTGAATCATAAGAAAAAGTTGAGTTTCTACCACAGTACTTTATTGATATGCCTAAGGTGATATTATGGGACAGAATACGAGCACTCTTCATTCAACTCGAAGTGACATACACGAGGAGAATCAGATTTCTAATATCGCAATGGTTATAGATCAAAGCAGTGTTGAGGAGTATAGGTGTTTTGATTTCTGTTTTACCCATTTTCATCTATTTTTCCAAAATATTGTAGACGATACGCCTTATTTTCTTTCCGTTTATCTACTAAAGAAGTGTGAGTTTGTTGGAATTTTGTAGAGTGTTGAAAAAAAATGTTTCATCTCGCGTTGTTGAAGATGCGTATGATGATGACCCTATCGATTGTGTCAACTTTTCTCATTTAGATACTGATGATTTCCTTGAGGTTGGTTGTTTCTTACATTACTTGTATGAGCAATCTTTAGTTTCTGCCTTTTCTGAAAGTAAATTGCTTTCAGGGTTGTCGAATTTTTTTTGTCGGTTTTGAAAAGATTCGTTTAGCAAAGTGGAAGCGTCTGGCAAATGCACTGGGCGCTAGTGTTTCTAGTGTTTATAACGACACTGTGACGCATGTAGTCGTATTTAACTCAAAGCCTGATTTGAAAACAGTTTCCGAGGTTTTAATTTAAATATTTACCTTAGAGGGCTGCTATTTGGAAAGTTACTTTACTTGCTCCTGAATGTGACTTAAAGTTATTAACCCTAATAAATACTTTTGCTTACAAATAAATTCCATATTTGTAGCCTGATATAGTGTCTTCATCGTGCACCGTTGTCAGATGTGAATGGCTTGTTGAATGTGCAAAGGCTCATCGTCTTGTTTCAACTTCTAACTTTATAAAGGATCTTTCTGACAGTCAAAATATTAACCAGTCTGAGAATAAGGCTTCAAAGAACCTACCAATTGTGTTCCACGGATCACAGGTTTTTCAAGATTCTCCTATTGCGTTATATTCACTAGTAAAATTCCATATAGAAGTTAATTATATGTAAGGTTTACTTGAAGGGCGCGACAGGATGACTAATCATTTTTCTTCTTTTACTGATGCTCACACGAAGTAAAATCCCATGTTCTTGTCTTTAAAGAAACTCCTATTGTAGTTGGCATGATGGTATTACCTTTTTGTTTTTCCGATATACGGAACATCTATTTCAGAATCCTGGAATTGATGCTGCTTTGAGACCGTCTCTTGGTGATCACCAAATTAATATTACACCTTCCACATCAAATATTCCGACTGCAGAATCTGTACCCACTATTCTGTCTAAGGATTTAACCGAGGTTGATTCTTTAATGAATAATTGCATTGAGGTGCCTCTTAGTTGGCAGGACTATTCTTTCGTTGAAAGAATCATTCAGAATGGTTCTTTTTCAAATGCTAAATTTAAATTTAACAAACTAGTCAACAAATGGTTTCATAGGTTTATGACCGAGTTTTTTTTTTTCACCTGGTATATATTTTTGTCATTGCAGCTTTTGCGTAGCGATAATTGCGAAGCTTCATCTGGTTCTGGTAATAATAGCCCTTTGGTTGACAGTCCTAGTGCATTTTTGAATCCAAAAAAAAATTTTATTCCTCATTTTGATTTGAGGCAGGCATACGAATTTGTTGACGGCTTGCAGTCTTTTGAACAGCCATCCAATTCACCTGAAACTTTCAGCTGGGTAGGATGCTTCACAACTTTGTTGACATCTTTTTCTAAGGTCTATTTAATGACTCCTAAATTCCCGTTGTCTTGCTGGACATCTATATCTGGCTTATATTTGACCGTAGTTTCTTGATCTTCAAGTGTGTTTTACGATGGATCTTAGATGGATTCTTTTTTCAAAACATTACAGTTTAGTCCTAATTCTGCTTCATTTTTTAGTCTGAATCTGCAGTTGGTAAAGTTTTGGGTGAAGCTATTGAAAAAACCTCCAGGAAAGACGGTAAGAATGGCGAAGTGAGTGCCGTGCTTATTTGGCTTTGAATGTACACATTAATCTTTTTAACTTTTTTAATTGCGTTGTAGAGGCGGGATGATGTGCTGCTAAGTGGTGACTGGAGGAGAACGGAGTGTGGAAATGAGAAATCGTTTTTGGAAACACCAGTTACTACAGGTTTTAACGAAAAAAAGCTCAATACAGACAGAAGTCGGGAAGTGACTGAAAATGAAATTGCTGTTTTAAACGAAGAGAAAACGTAGAGTTATTAGCACTTTTTGAATGCTTTTTCTTACCTGTTTTACAGGTCATTATTATTTAGGGCAAGTTAATGCAGATTTGATATCAATATGTTGTAGCTACTCAAAAAGTGCAAAAGAAAATTTAGCTTCTCAAATCATTTCTTAAGAAAGCAAATGGGACTGTTTTTAAAGACTGGTTTTCTGTTGGGTTTTGCTTTTAATGAAAATACTTTAGGCGACTGATTGAAAGGTGTCTAGCAAATTTAGCTAACTGTGAAGACGGGAGACCATCAAGCTCTTTCTTAGTAAGTTTCACTTCAAACATTGTTTTGTAGGCCTGCATCTTTAATTTTTTGGGAAAAATTGTTTTTCATTGAGCTTGGAAACCTGTTAATAGGTCTTGTCTTAATCAGTATTAGAACTGTTGATTATCATTATTTAAATAGTCGCTTTTGAACTGACTTTTGGGGTATTCTCAGAACTACACCACATAGTCGTATTTGGTTTAACCCTTTAATTGTGAATGGCAGTAATTAGGTATGGTCGTTCTTGATGAATAGTCTCTGGCTCTTTTTGATGTACGGAACTGTAGTTCTGAAGCTTTCCAAACGGATGTGCGTACTGCTGGGTATGAATATTCAGTTATAGCTTTTATTATTTTTTAGGCAAAAAGTCGAAAAAGACCCGTTTGTCAAGAGGCGAATGAACCAGTTAGCAAAAGTGAAGCAGAAAAAATAGGGCCTTCGTCACTGCTGTGCGATTTTCATGACTCAGCTGTTGGCGGTGGAATTATTGGCTGGGAGGAGGCTCAGCCAAGGTCAGAATTTCATTCGTTTCTTTGTTAAGAACGGTCTTTTAGCAGCTTTACTTAAGTTGTAGTTCCTGCTTTATTTTCATATGATTTTTTAGTCTCTTTTATGTTAATGTGATGTTTATTTTAATATTTATAACAGTTATAGAAAGAACTTTTTTAAAAGTTTTTGTTGTCATATACCACCCAGGTAATCAGGGTGTGACGGTATGGTATAAAACTCAAAAGGAGTTTTGTGTTGACATTTAATAATCACAGTTTGTTATAGTGTGAAGCAAGTCAGATATGGACCGACGAACTTTGGCGAGTCATCGGTATATTCCGTACATTAAAGTGACATGTCATTTGTTCACTTATTTATTATTTCATTTCGTCAGTTTATTCATTTTTGTGTAGTGAGGATTATGTCGTTTGCAGTTGATTGTTTTTTTACAAATATAGCGGAGCGTGTTACTAACTTATATAGCAAGATTTAGGATAGAAATCCTTCAACGGGACGAGAAGACGTTGTGACCAGGAGGAAGAAAGGTTCGTTTAAATTTGGTAGAGGCGACGATATACTTTTTATTGAGAGGCAGGCAGGTTTTTATTTTACGACGTTCTTGTGAAGATTAAACTTTTGTTCTTAGAATTGAGCTGAAAAATGTTTTGCTGTAGACAGCTGTGATGAAGATGAAGTTCTGTATTTGACTGCTCCAGAATTTTTAAATTGCACCTTACCTTAGAAAATCCTGAGAAGTGTTATATTTTGCTTAATCAGCATTTTAGGAGATTTATAATTTAGCAGCATGCGCTACACTAACTTGACCTAAATGCAGTTGAATTTGTTCTTTTTTTTTGACGTCTTTGTGGGAACCTAAATTTGTGGGCTGGATCCTGCATGCGAGTACCTGCAAAAAAGAAGAAACTTTTTTTCCATTTTTCAGGATTTAATAGATTCACAGAAAATATCGGTCGCTGTTTTGAAGGAACTTAGTGGGGGATGCGCTGATGATTTTGGCAGGTGTAATGATCTTGGTTACAGTTCTGTCCCAACAAACTGTGTAACAAAGGAAGTAGGCGATTTGGAAGAAACTGCACAGCAATCTTCAGTATTGGCAGGGAGGTTTGTAACGTTCTTTTTATGAGGTCATGTAGAAATTACAGTAGAATTTTGCAAATTAAGATGCATTTAAGATCACGTTGATTTAATCGTTACTTCGTGAAGAAAGTTTCTATCGGGTACTATATAATTTAAAATTAAAATAATAATAAAAACG